TTTCCCTATTGGATTGTCTTTTATTTCATTCTCTTGTCTGATCGTACTAGCTAGGACTTCCAGTACTATATTGAATAGGAGTAGAGAAAGCGGGCAACCTTGTCTTGTACCAGATTTGGGGGGGAAAGCTTTTAACTTTTCCCCATTCAGTATGTTAGCTATAGGTTTTTCAGAGATGGTTTTTATTATGCTGAGAAACAATCCTTCCATGCTGACTTTACTGAGAGTCTTAATCATGAAGGAATGTTGTATTTTGTCAAATGCTCTTTCCGCATCAATTGAAATAATCATATGGTTTTTATCTTTCTTTCTGTTCATATGTATTACATTTATGGTTTTGCATATGTTGAACCACCCTTGCATCCCTGGAATAAAGCCTACCTGGTCATGATGAATAATATTTTTATATGCTATTGAATACAGTTAGCAAGTATCTTGTTGAGAATTTTTGCATCTATATTCATCAGAGATATAGATCTGTAGTTTTCCTTTTTGTCGTATCATTATCTGTTTTGGGAAAGAGGGTGTATAAGATTCTATTTCACCAGTTTAGTCTCGTGTACTTAATCTACCTTCTGTTGTGGTTCAATCTTCCCGTTTAAATTCTAGAACATAACATTCACCTCTAGACTTGTCCCTATCATTAAGCTGGCCATTTTCTTCCTTGTTATTGAACACTTATTTCTGTGTGTCTGCATTTAGCTTTCCTGGTATAGCACTCCCTTCAAAACTTCTTGGCAAGCTGATCTGGTGTTGGTAAATTCCTTTAGGTTTTATTTATCTGTGAATGTTCTGGTCTTTTTTTTTTTTTTTTCCATATGGAGGATAATTTTGCTGGGTACAGTATTCTTGGTTGAAATTGTTTTTCCTTTAACACTTTGAATATATTTTCCCATTCTTTCCTTGTTCGCATTGTTTCTGATGAGAGGTCTGCTGTTAGCCTGATGGGATATTTTTTGTAGGTAACTTGACATTCTCTCTTGCCAATCTCAGTCTATTGTCTTTGCGGTTTTGGTCAAGCTGGCTATAATGTGTCTTGGAGAAGATCTTTTTGGGTTTATTCTATTTGGGGTCCTTTGTATTTCTTGGGACCGGATCTTTGAATGCCTCTCTAGGTTTGGAAAGTTTTCTTCCAGAATTTCATGGAATAGATTAACAATGCCCTTATTAGTCTCTTCACCTTCTGGGACACTGATTATCCAGATGTTTGGACATTTAATGGAATTTAGTATTTCTCATATATTATTCTCATTTTGGGGTGGCTATTTTCTCAGTCTTCATGGTAGATTTTTCTAAGCCAATGATTCTGTCTTCTACATCTGAGATTCGATTTTCTGTATGATCTGGTCTGCTTTTAATACTTTTGAGGGAGGTTTTGATTTCCTGTATTGCAACCTTCATCTCTAACAGCTCCATTTTTATGGTGTGTATTTCCTCTTTCAGATGGCACAAAAACTTCCTCGCCTCCTGGAAATCACTGGCTCTTTTCTCCTGTGACTTCTGAAGTTCATTGTCTCTATTCTCTTGCATCTCTGTTAGCTTTGTTGTTATGAATATTCTACTCTTTCAGATGGCACAAAAACTTCCTCGCCTCCTGGAAATCACTGGCTCTTTTCTCCTGTGACTTCTGAAGTTCATTGTCTCTATTCTCTTGCATCTCTGTTAGCTTTGTTGCTATGAATATTCTAAATTCTTTACCTGACATTTCCGTGAGTTCCGTTGTACTGTCTGGATGAAGAGGAGTTATTCTTTTCCCTTGGAGTAGAGGTATTTTCTTGCTTTCTCATATTCCTTGTGACCCTGCGGTGATTTCTAGTCATTTGATGGGTTGTGCATTTCTTTCTAATTCTTGAAGTTCAATCTGAGCATTCAGAGGTGTGCTGGAGGAGGTGATCGGCAACCTCTCTTCCATTCTGTTTTTCACTCTGCCCATCAAATTCAGTGGAAATTGAGGAATAGTTTGACTCATTCTAGAAAAAAATCTGGGGGAGAAGTCTCAGTAGAAAATCTTCACTTTTAGTTCTTGAAAGCAATATTTCACAGCTGAATTTCAGTAGACATCTCAGAATGGGCCTGAGTTTGTGCCTCTCCAATCTAGAAATGAATCTAGAGGGAGAAGTTTTGGCAGAAAAATCTTCATTTTTAGCCCCTGAAAACAATATTTCACAGCTGAATTTTTATAGCCATCTCAGAATGGGCCTGAGTTTGTGCATCTCCTCCACCCTTGGGTTTTAACTTGGCCCTTGTCACCAATGGGTCATCCATGGATCGTCCAAGGGCCTTTCACAGAGGGACCACTGGCCACTGCCTGAAGCAGCTCTGAAAGGGCTCAGGTAACTCAGACCCAGCTCTCTGGGCATCAAAGGCCACAAGCTGCCATAGCATTATATTAATGATATGTGCTTTGGGTGCCCACCTTAGCTCCAGCACCACCACAGAGCTGACCTCTGGACCTCTTGGGAATGGGGTCTTTGAACCAGAGTAGACCCAGCCCAATCAGCCTTCCTGAGGCTCCCGATGGCTGATACTGAGGTCAGGGTGCTCATTTTTAATAAACTCTCAATCTTCCACCTACTGTCCCCTGACCGTGAGCTCATTTTCGCAGAGTCATAGAATCTTGGACTACTGAATATCTTCCAAGACCATTTTTTTCCTTCATTTTTTTCTCAAGTTTATTTATTTAGTGTGTGTGTGTGTGTGTTGTTTTAATTGCCATGCTTGCCAGAGAGAAATGGCAGGGAGCAGGGGAAGGAGAAGCAAACCCAATGGTGTGTGGTCACATATGTTTTTCTAAACCTTCAGGGTCAGGATTTTTTTTACAACTCCCTTAACCACTGTGCTACAGGACCTGCCAGAGAGATTGATTTTTGGCAGGGGCTCACCATGTCGTGATCAGCCTGCCCTAGCCTCCTGGCCAGCTAGGACCACAGGTGCATGCCAACGCACCTGGCCTGTTTTTAGGTTGAACCAGGAACTGAACCTGGGCTTCCAATGCAGCCTCTGCCTCCTGAACAGCAGTACCTTAGCAGCGTGCACCTGAGCACCTCAGCAACAGCGCCTTTCATTTAAGTCTTTCCAAAGGAAGGTTGTGTCTTCAGCAGCAACCTGTGCTCTGTCCACACAATATGACCACATTTACCACATATGAAAAACGTAAGTGGAGAAGTGATTTGTTATTTAGGTGATTATGTGGGCTGAATTTTGTACCCCAAAGGACATGCTGAAGTTCTCATCCTTGTGAAGAAGATCTTATTTAGAAATAGGGTCTTTGGGGACCAGCAGTTAGTGTAATGACTGTGTAGCTGGACTCGCACGTACTTTACCACAGTTCATGTCCCGGACCCAATGGCTTAAAACTCACAGTGGGCACGTGTGCGTGTGTGCCCAAGATCCCAAGAAGAGAATAGAAGAGAAGGGATTGCGGCGTGGCCATCCCCCCTGGGGGGTGATTTCTCACTTTCTGTCTCTCTGTCTCTCTCTGTCTGGTGAGCACACGCGCCCTATAGTGAAAAACCTCTCAAAAAAAAAAAAAGAAAAAGAAAAAGAAAAAAAGAAAGAAATCGGGTCTTTTTATATGTAATTACTTAAATTAAGAAGGGTTAGGATGGACCCCAATACAATGACTGGTGTCATTCTAAGAAGAGAAAACACACAAGCATGAAGGGAAAAAGACCACTTGAAGGCAGAGACAGAGATCAGTGTATGTGTTCACAAGCCAAGGATTGTCAGGGACCACCAGGAGCTGAAAGAGGCAAGGAAAGACTCACCCCTAGAATCTTCCAAAAGTGCACAGTCCTGTTGACCCTTGATTTTAGACTTCCGGTCTGCAGAACCATGAGAGAATGAAAAACAAAAAATTTAAAGTTTTTGCCATAGATCACATGTGCTCACCAGAGAGACAGAGAAAGACATGAGAGAGAAAGTAAGAAATCACCCTCCCCCTCAGGGGAAATGGCCACGCCACAATTCCTTCTTCTCCATTCTCTTCTTGGGATTTTAGGCGTACACACAAATGCCCAGCGTGAGTTTCAAGCCATCAGATGTCAGACTCAAACCATGGTTGACTATATGGGAATCCAGCACATTAACCACTACGCCACCTGCTGGCCCAAATTTTTGTTGTTTTAAGCTACTGAGTTTATGGTAATTTGGTAAGGCTGCCCCAGGAAAGTAACAGGGATGGGTAAGATGTTTTGAACAACTTGAATGTAAATTTGGGAGGATTTAGGTGATATAAGGATATAGTGAAATGTTCCCCTATAATATTTTATTCCTTTACTTTAATGTGTGTGACTCAATTGATTTTTCTTTCCATAAAAGCTATAACCTAGGGTCAGCAGGTGGCAGGTGGTTAAGGGCGCTGGACTCTCACATGACCGACCATGATTGGAGTCCTGGACCTGGCGGTTTGCTTTTTTTCCTACTTTCTCCCTTCTGGTCAAATTAAAATAAATAAATAAATAAATTTAAATAAAATAATTAAAAAAAAAAACTATAACTTTAGGTACTTAAGCCAAGTTGGTTTAACGATTTTTGATTGCTGTATTTCAGATAGGCACTTACATGAAAATAACAAAGTTTTGTTACAAAACATTTTTTGTTTTGAATATTTTTAAAGATTTTGAGGGGCTTTCTTTGGTTTGTTCTTTGTTTGTTTGTTTTTTTCTGGGAGGAGTTGGTTTTGTTGTTGGTGTAAGAAGAGAATTTAGGGGGCCAGCTTGTGGCATGGTGGCTAAGGCAGCCAGATCCCACATAGCTGATCCTGCAGTTCAAGTCCCAAGCCTGGTGGCTTGAAAAACACCCTGGGCACAAGGGCATGTGTCCCCAAAATCCCAAGAGAAGAATGAGGAGAAAGGACTACAGCATAGCCATCCCTTATGGGGGGGTGACCTCTCACTTTCCCTCTCTCTCTTTCTCTTTCTCTCTGTTTCTCTCTGGCGCATGTGTGCACCCTGTAGCAAATTTAAAAACTGAAATGAAAAAAAGATGACAAAAGTAAGTCATAGGCCATTGTGAAGAGAACCATAGACTTCACAGTATTTAAGTTCATTTAGACCCTGGAAAGAGGCATGTGTCTCCTTTTCAGAAGATGATGGCTAGAACTCCCTTTTAAACAGCAAAGTATAGCACTTGTACCCCCAGAGACCCACCCACAAGAGACCAAGTTAACTGGCCTAATCTGCCTCTCTGTTTTCTGGCTACTACAAAAGATGGGAGAAGCAGATGGAAGTGGAACCCATGTCCTGTGAAGAGTTAGAAAAGAAAAGCAAATCCATCCTCCTGAAACAGCTCCAGCCCCTCCAAGAGAATAAACCCCATTGGCTATGGCAGGAATGACTCCCTGATATTGGGGTCGACATAACAGATGGGATTTTAATGCTCTGGGGACTGAAATTGCCTAATTACTATTTACCTGGGAGGCATCTAGCCACAAGATAAAGATTCAGGGTGAACTAGAAAGATGCTAGCCAACAAAGGCTGAGGATAAGACCTCGCTTGGCTCACTTGAACTGTGCTTGGTAACGAGGATAAATGGAAGGGGAGTCACACTCTATCTATAGAGATTGACTGCCCTCCACAAGTATTTGCCAAGAATGGCTGACTCCACTGTTTTGAACAACTTGAATGTAAATTTGGGGGGATTTAGGTGATATATACATATATATACATACATATATATGTGTGTGTGTGTATGTATATATATTTATTATTATATATATGTATTTTTTTTAATTTGCTAGAAGGCATGTGCACTTGCAGAGGAGAGACAGAGAGAGAGGAAAAGTGAGAAATCACTCCCTAGGGACCACATCTCAGTCCCATCTCCTCTAGTCTCCTCTTAGATTTTTTTTTTAACATTTTTTTTTGAGAGGTTTTCGCTATAAGGCGCGTGCGCTCACCAGACAGAGAGAGACATAGAGACAGAAAGCGAGAAATCACCCCCCAGGGGGGATGGTCATGCCGCAATCCCTTCTCCTCTATTCTCCTCTTGGGATCTTGGGCACGCACGCACACACGCCTGGCATGAGTTTTAAGCCACTGGGTCCGGGACGCGAACCGCAGTCGACTACGCGGGAGTCCAGCGACATAGCCATTACACTAACTGCTGGTTCCCTCCTCTTAGATTTTTGAGCACATATACACACACACGCTGAGTCCGGGACTTGAACCGTGATGTCAGCTGTGTGGGATCATAGCATTCTTCCCCTGGCTCCCAGAATGTATGTCCTCCTTACACACAAAATACATTTCTTCTATTCCATTCTTTC